CTGTGATGAGTCACACGTTTATTCACAGGTGAGTGGCCTGCTGGGGCGGATGAGTCATACACGGTGGGAGAGTGACCTCTTGATGCCCGAGGGTAAGGGTGACGCGACTGGGGGGGGCGGGGGAGGAGTGGCAGGAAGGGGAGAGAGGGGGAGGGAGGAGGAAGAAGATGTAGAGAGAAGAGAGAAGGAAATAGGAAAAGGGAGTGCAGTGGAGAAAGGGAGGTGAGACAGAAAATGGGAAGAGAGGGATAGGAAGGGGAAGAGAAGGATAGGAAGAGAAAGAGAAGAGATAAAAGAGGAAGTGAGAAAGAAAAGGGGGGAGGGGTAGAAAGAGAGGAGCAGGGAAGGAGCGGAGAGGGATAGGAGAAAGGGAAACGTAGAGATGGAAGAGCGATGGGAGGAAAGGGAGGAGAATGAAACGGAAGAGGGAAAAGAGAAAGAGAGAGAGAGAGAAAGAAAGAGAGAGAGAGAGATGGGGGGAGAGGGATTGTATACCTAGGGTGGGGTGGATAGTGACGAAAGATAGATATGTAGGTGTTTGGTGTGAGAGGAAACGCTTTACGAGACAGCATGAAAATAGTGACGACGGGAGAGAGAGAGAGAGAGAGAGAGAGAGAGAGAGAGAGAGAGAGAGAGAGAGAGAGAGAGAGAGAGAGAGAGAGAGAGAGAGAGAGAGAGAGAGAGAGAGTGAGAGAGAGAGAGAGAGAGAGAGAGAGAGAGAGAGAGAGAGAGAGAGAGAGAGAGAGGGACAGAAAGAGAGAGAGTGAAAAAGCCCGAAGCGATACGAAACTTATTATTAAAAGAAAAAGAGGTTCGGTGAACAAGTAATTCCACTTTCTAAAATCATCCAGATCTCTACCTTCCCGGAGACAATATAAAAAAAAACACACAAACATAAAAACACACACACACACACACACATATAAACACAACGACAAAACCAAACAAACAGACACACCTCCAAGGCTTTTCGCGATGACATAACACATTGCATCATCAATGCGCGCTAATACAAACATCCGCTTTCATTAGGGGCGATCATCAACAGGTAAATAGATGGTATTACTCGCTAGCAGTTGTGTGCAAAGCTCTCAACACCCAGGCGCTGCTCGCCTCAATAACATGCCTGTACCAAAATAGATAAAGTGATGGAAAATGAGTGAGTGAATGGATGGGTGGATGGGTGGATGGGTGGGTGGGTGGGTGGTTGTTTGGTTGGTTGGTTGGGTGGGTGAGTGAGATAGTGAGTTAATGGGTGAGTGAGTGAGTGAGTGAATGGGTGGGTAGGTTTTGGGTGAAGTGAGTGAGTGAGAAAGGAAAAAAGATGGGGAAGGAGGAGAAGGAGGGAGGGAGGGAGGGGAAAGAGAGTGAAGGGGAGAGGAGAGAAGCAAGATGGGAAAGAGTGAGAGACACAAAAACATATACCGCATTCCCAAGACACTGTGAGGAGTCATAAGGTCATGTCTGGACGGTGAGAGGAGGGGGGAGGGTGATATATGGCGCGCTGATAGAATTGCTTATTTTGTCTGCAAATGCTTTGAAGGTGTGTGAATAAATTATTTTTACATAGAGATATTCACATATTATTCCCGAGCATTTCCATATTAAGTCAAGACGGCAAGACTACACCATATGTCATACAGCATTAAAATCTGATCGGTATCAACTCATCTTCCTCGGATGACAGATGGTACAATCACCTGTTGGACTGACAGAGAGAGAGAGAGAGAGAGAGAGAGAGAGAGAGAGAGAGAGAGAGAGAGAGAGAGAGAGAGAGAGAGAGAGATGGGGAAGGGACAAGACAAATAAATAGAGGGAAATAAATAGAAAGAAATCAACAGAGAGAGGACGCAACACCCGAAGCCCAGCTGGGGCCATACCCCCTTCAACACCCTCCCCACACCCCCAGCCTCACCACACCCCCACCAGTTCTCGCTCCCCCCGGCCGACCTCCGCGACCGGTCGGGTGAAAGCATGTGTCGATGATTTAGGTGCTTTCGAGCTAAGGACTCACAGCTGTCGGGACCAAAGCGGCGATCGCGTGCACGCACACGCGCCCCTTGCAACCAAGCGCCACAACCTCTTCCAACCTGCGAGTGCTGTGTGGGGTTGGGAGGGCAAGGAATGCGGGAAGGAAAATGAATTATTTATATCATTATTTATCATCATTATCATATTTTCTATTTCGGAGAGTACTGTTATAATGTTAGCAGACAATGGGATTTTGTTAACGGTGATAAAGATAAGGATACTGATAGCGGTGACGGTGGCCATGGTGACAGGAACATGACAAATAAAACTCACCCGCCATGATAACAACATAACGGGAATAGACGCCAAAACCACAGCACTTGATATCACGTCGAACTCAGGCACGCACGCACGAGACAATAGCCCCCTTGCGAGCATTCCACAGTAGCGAATTAGCATAATCTTACGAGTTTCGCACTTTTGTTCGCTAAAGCTCGATTCGCGATTCATCTTCGGCCCGACAGAGTGG